TTTTTTTTTACTTACTGTGCCCCACCAGAGAGCATCTGCATATGTAGAAAACTCCTTATTTGCATCCTTTTCCACCAGATAGACAAGGAAAGATGAAAATATAAGAACCAAAAATCCTATGTACCAAGCTGTGATTAATTCCTAAATATAAAAGGAATGAAAGATTTTTAGAAGCAAAAAACTGAAAAAAGGGGGAAATCTATACATAATTTCACTTACTTTACTACCTTTTAGATACTTATGCTATTCTTAAATAATCCATTAGTTACCATGTCCCTAAATTGCTTTAACTATCTTTGAAATGACTGTTTGCTTGTGATAGGTTTATTAAATATTATTACAGTTATCAATAAACTGTTTCAAAAATTTTGTTCTAAAACCCAGAAAACAAATCTTACCTTGCTGTGTGCATAAACTACCGAACCTAGTAATTTCCAAGTGCCTCCCCTCCGGTCCATTCGCACCATACGGAGGATCTGTAGGAAACGGAGACTTCTGAGTGCAGACGTGGCGAAAATATTACCCTGAGTTTTTGCTGAAACAACTGCGATTGAAGCAATAAGAACAATGGTATCTGAAAGAAACAGGTTGAGACAGCCATCAGTTGCATGACTAAGAATTTTTATTTCTCAAAACATTATTTCCAAAAGGTTCACTTGGGCCTGTTTGAGGCACAAATAGATAAACAGATCTTGAACCCTAGCCTTTTCTAGAGCTACTTGGGTTTTCCCTAGTGATTGAGAGTGACAGGACTCACCTAATGCTAAGTTCTGATTTTTGGTCACCTTGAGCTTTACCCATGCAATTTTGAACTACAAACTTTGTAACCTCTAATGAACTGAACAATGGTTTTCAGGCAGTTCAGTGTTTCCACACTGACTGTGGGCAGTCTTCCAAAAGACTTCTGAGCTCATTAGCATTCATGTCTGCAGAAAGAAGCTCCTGCCTCTGCCCCTATCATCTCCACCTCTCCCTGGTTCATGTGGTAGAGGCAGGACAACCAATCCAGGTTGTAAAATGCTGCTTGCTTGGTGTAAGGCTTATTTTCTTGCCAGACACTTTGTATCTCTTTTATGTTCCAAATTCCTAATGTTGTGAAGTCTGCAATTTTGATATTGTTAAACAAAGGCCTCCACTAAGCTGAATACTCAGGCGTCTCTATACAGTATACCTGGTCTGTCAGTGCGTGAAAGTCTGGCGCACAAATTGAATAATATTACATTTGTTACCATAAAGTATGTAATTATAAACAAACGGCATTTCCTGGGAATGGACTTTCAATGTTTGACATGTTGACATTTGGCTTAAAAAATATCTGCCCTTTTGTAAGCAAGAAAGAGACAAAGAACAGCTAATGAAAGCATAAAAAAGATAAAAGAGGACTTAACCACTCCATGAATAAATATCTGAGTGATGAGAAATAGATTTTGAAGTGGCAAAATGAAGTGGGGATGAATGACCACCTGTGGCTATTTTAATTCCTTAGCTTGACCTTAACATCTTCAAACAAAATTTCTTTCCTGTTTCAAGTGAGTTGTGCATTACTGTACTTCCACTCACCAAAGAACCAGTTCCACTTCAAAGGTGTTGCATTTGTCATGTTTTCATAATTCTCAGGATTGGCTATTGTGTAAATGTGTACAATTCATTCAGCTCATACTTTTTCCTCCACTCAGAAAGATCTGGTCTCTTGAAGCCAATTGTCAACATCTTCTGAACTGTATGGGTGCCCCCTTTTTTGAGCCAGTGCATGAAGAAAGGAGTCTGAGATTGACAGTGCATGCATCAGTCAAAGGGCTTTTCCCAGTCAGATCGAAACTCTATGTAACTTGTGGATAGGTGCCAGAGAACCCCAAAGGCATCCTTGAGTTCCAGTTCTAGGCAACTGTTGGAAATAATAAGGAATGAAATGGATTGACACAGACACTGAGAACATATTTTCAGTAAATAAAATTCAGTTTCTTGTTTGCTAATGACATGATCCTATATGTAGAAGACTCAAAAAACCTCCACCAGCCGACTTTTAGAACTGACTAATTCAGCAAAGTTGTAGGACACAAGATATTATGGGTTAGATATGCAATGTCCCCCCAAAACCTCACGTGAGACAAGAATTTTCAGAGGTGAAAAGATCAAATTATGATAATCAGTGGATTAATCAAATGATATGGATTAACTGGGTGGTAATTGTGGGCAGATAGTGTGGGGCTGGAGGAGGTTGGGTACTGGGGTGTGACTTTTGAGTTTATATTTTGCCCCTGGTGAGCAGAGCCCTCTCTCTGCTTCCTGGTTGCCATGTTTTGAGCTGTTTTCCTCTGTCATGCCCTTCTTCTATGTGTTCTGCCTCATCTTAGGACCAGAGTAATGGAGTTGACCATCTAGGGACTGAACCTCTGAAATCATGAACCAAAACAAAATTTTCCTCCTTCTTCCTTTACATTGTTCTTGTTAGGTCTTTTGGTCACAATGATGCAAAAACTGACTAAAACACAAGAGCAACATACCACACACACAAAAAAATCAACAGCATTTCTATACTTCAATAATGAATCTGCTGAGAAAGAAATCAGGAAAATTTATTTCAATTCACAATAATCTCAACAAACAAACAATCAAACAAACAAACTTGGGAATCTAGTTAACTAAGGAGTTGCAAGACCTCTACAATGAAAACTAAAGAACATAAAGAAAGAAATTGAAAAAGTTTAGCAAAGGACTCCCAACTACTTGCCCACGGAGGTCTTGCAATGCCTTAGCAGGATCACCAGCATCAGCACTGGTGCAGAATTCCTGGACACCACTCCCACAAAGGACACTCAGCCACTACCCACATGCAGGAACTCTGGCTGCCACTCCTGTGTGGACCCCCATCTACCAACGTGGAGCTCCCCTGGTCACCTCCATCTTGGGACTCTGCAGCTACTTCCATAGTCCCCTACTCACTGTAGCCTGCCTGCAGCTGGGGACATCCCAGGCTCTGAAGAAAGCTGATAGCCACAAGACTGCATGCCATAGAGAGTTCATCTCTGAGTGCACTACACCGTGCCATCGCCCAGCTCCCCCCACCTGATCTGACACCCTATAGTTGAAAACAGCTGCCTTCATCTTGATTCACCTCCATCACCATCTTTAGTATGTGCAGTTACCAGTTTGGAATACTGGACAGCCGGGTACCCATAGTTTTCTAATCACCTTCAATCCCCAGCAGCCGCTAACTCAGCAGAGTGACTGCCCAATACGAAATAGTCCTCCATGACAGGTGCGCAGCCACCAGAGTACAACACACAAGACCCCCGGAGAGAAAGGTTCCTGATTAGGAAGGGAGAGAGTGAGGGAGATACACTTTAGAGACTAATTTAGAGGGCAGGAACTGTTAGGTCTACAGGTGAGATGAGGAGATAAGACCTGGCCCCCACATCACAGGAGGAGACCCCAAAGGAGATCCTTGAGATGCAGTCTCCGAATGGGACCAGAGGGTGCCATACTCCACTTCCAAGTGCTCTGCACCCAAGACCAACCCTCACACCCTGGTAACCCCCACCATGCAGAGGGTGGAGATAACAACTAAAAACAAACAACCCCACCATTGGATGAGAAGGGAAGCAAGAAAGACACTGATCTTCAACCAAGACAATCCTTGTTTCTTCTTTTGAGATTTTTTTCTTTCTTCTCCCTCTTTATTCGTCTGCCCTCATATCCCCAACATATGTGAAACCAAGTACTTTACATGAATTAGGATATTGAGGAGAGAGACGATTACATAGTATATTACAGTTGTGTTGTATATTCTTTTTTTTTTCTCTCCCATTTTTACTATTTTAACTTTTCTTAATATATATGTGTTTTTGTCTTATGTACTCTACTGTCTTCCCTCTTTACTTGTCTACCCCAAATTGCTACCTCTCTATTCTCCTGCTATTAAACTTCTTCTTTAGATTTCTCTTTCACACTTTCCAAAATATAATAACTCTATATCCTCATCTCATACCTCCTCAGCATATCATCCTCCACCTCACTCCTGGTTCTTTGTCCACCATCAGAAACTGTAAACCCTTTTACAAACCTACTGATTATATTGTAGATAATAATTGAATTCACCAATCCTGTACATTGTGACCAAACTGTAAACATCTTAATAACAACTATTTGTTTTTAGGTGGTATTTTGTTCACATTGGGATCTGTTAACATTGTCCTTCACCTCAAAGGAGAAGTACTGGAACCCTCCAAAGGCACTAGAAGCCTATACGGTAAAAACAGTAACACCTCAGATCTACAGAGCTAGAAAGGAAGACATACAAGCAGCATGAAAAGACAAGGGAAGAAAGTGCCCCAAACAAATCAAGATACCACTTTATTGGAATTCATGACCAGCACAGCAGATGAAATGACAGAGAAGGAGTTCAGAATGTACATA